AAACTTAATTTAGTCTAATAATTTAACTAGTATTTAAATAAACACAAAAAAGAGATAGATCACTATAGAATAAAATGGAGGCAAAATTGTCGAACAAATTTTAAAGTGAGAAAAAAATTACAAATAAAAAAAGCTTTCTTTCCAAATAATTTAAATAATTTATATTGCAAATATAATCAAGTTCAGTAATTTAATCAGTATATAAATTAATTAATTTATCAAAAAGGTTAGAATTGTCATCATAAAACAAAATGAAAAAATGTCTGAATAATATTGTTATGAGGGCAAAATCATCCAATGAATGTTTAAACATATTATATATATATATATATATATATATAAAAAGGATAAGATTGTTCTTATAGAGATAAAATGGGATCAAAATTATCTAAATAATATTGTAAAAGGGGCAAATTTGTGCAATAAATATTTTTAAAAATAAAAAAAAGAAATAGAATATTGTGTTTGAAAAACAACCATTATGCTTTATAATAGAATAATAGAAATTATATTATGCTTAATTAATAATAAATAATAAGATCAACTATATTAGTTAAAGAAATATTCATAATAATACAAATAAAACAATCATACAGCTAATGGATATTGAATTATATAACTATTTTTATTACCTTGTATAAATTCAGAATTCACTACTCGATTATACTTTGTAATTATGCCTTAATTTTTACAGAAGTCAATTTCTGTAATTTCCCCTTAAATAATTCGCTGCCCAAATTATTTATTTTGTTGTACTAAGAATGCTTAGAGCTATGTGCCCATTCTCCACGCTAGCAAGTTTGCAAAGACTTGTGTGCCAAAAATGGAGAGAACTTCAAACACAACCCAAATCCCCCTTCTTGAAAACAGAAAAAAGCGAAAGCATATGAGAGAAAAAAAGATATTTAGAAATACTAGCTTCATTAGTGTCATTTACTATTGCAGGCAAAAAAAAAAAAAGAATTCTTACAGTATCTCATGGAACTACATCGCTTGAATCTATAGCCTGCTACTAAAGTGAAAAAGTTCCATGAATAATACATAGAGCACTAATAGCTCAAAAACAAAAAGATGCAGACAGAAATGCAAATGAAGCTAAAAATTATCTAAACAAGATGCATATTTCCAATTTTACAAGAACTGCGAGTATAAAATAAACTCCTACTCCCCAACAAGAATTGTATGAATTTGATGTATCCCAAAATTTTATCTCAATGCTTGTACAAAGACCAGGAGATGCAGGCACCATTCGTGTAGGCATGCAGCAGCTTTTGAATCTTGAGCTTCAGCTTACATCACCATTTCAGCAAGATCACTGTTCCAACTGTAACCATTGGAGCCATACGAACACGAGTCACCGTATGATTCAGTGGGACCACTAGCTGCATAATCAAAACCTCATCTCCAATCATCAAGATATAAGCAATTCTCATCATAAAACCCAGCCATCCACTCCTGACCTTATAACTTATCTATGCATAGCATGCAACAGAAAATAGGGTAAAATAATATTCCATTTGATGATGACATCAAAAAAGGCAGGTATCAAGGCATTAAAACAGATCAATTCTATATGAACAGGCTTCCTCTTTAGTAAAAATTCATATTAACTCAAATATCGTCCCAAGTTTTAGAACACAAGCATCTCAGTACCTCATATGGATGCAAAGACCATTTCTTTGAAGGTGAATTTACCTCTCTTTTCTTTTTATCGTGGGTTCAGGTTTATTCTTAGAGGCCTTGTCTGTCTGCAGAATAGAACAATGGGAGATTAAGAATATCAGGGTTTAGTGGAGAAGAATTTATGGGATTGGAAGTGGAGGATAGTGATTTCAATAGCATAGAAACTATTAATATAGTAGGAATATCAATGAAAGTCATAGTTCCTTTTTGCATAAGAATGGAAGGGAGATTGGATGGCATCCAAGGAACCATGGGATCAAGATCCAATGATCTAGAGACAATCCCCACATGGAGGACTGATTGTCCCATGGGAAAGGTGGTATTGCACAATCACGCATTTTATGGGACTACTTTAGGGGACCATTAGTTGCCAAAAAGCTGATCCCAGGAATAAAAGATACATCAGTCAGAAGACAGTTAATTCCTGGGGACAGATGGTCCTATATAGGCTGCTTAATATGCAGAACTGTAGTCCCAGATGACCAACAGTCCAATGCCAACTTTTAAAATTTGGAACAGACAAGGGACTCAGATGAGAAAAAATAAGCCAGGGAGCAGGAGCAAGGGACCTGGAACACTAGGATCTAGGAGCTGTTCATAAACCACTACTTCAAACCCAACTTTGCATATGGAAAGCTACTTATTAATAAATATACATTTTCAGATTTTACACCTTAAAAATAATCTCAGCATGTACTATTTTGTTTCTGAACCTATGCAGAAACTTGGTAAGACAAGTACGGCAGCAATCTGCAGAAATACAATATAGGTTAGCTGGTTTTCACAAGCTTCTGTAGGTCTTTGACTTGGGATTTTTTCCTTCACACCAGAAAAGCAATTAACACTAAAAGAATAGTGCACTAGCTCAAATTCTTTTCCCCTAAATTATACATGTCTTATTTCAGCATCTACATAAATTAAATTACAGGGCCTTGATATATCATAAAATATCTTAACCACATAGAAGAAAACCTTTATGCAACATCACCAAAATATAACAATCATTACAATGAAAATATGCAATAATTCCCTGGACAAGAAAACTGACAGCTACAATGTGCCATAAAATGGAAACTAAAGGTCAAGCATTATCCACAAGTACCCTGTTAGGAGAAATGGAAGCCTGATTTTCAGGCAACTGTCTCCACCAAAGCTAATCAACCAAGCTTGCTTTGAGGGTCTCCTGTTTATATATATTTTAGACTTTCATTCTCAGCTCGCCAAGCTGTTTCAAAAAGCTATCTGTCCCAACATTTCATGATTGTACTGAAGCTATGAAACATTTTGATCAATTAAAGCAACCCATGGGATGTTAGATGTATTTATGGTTCTTGAACCAGTAAAAGAGCCTGAACTGCTGCAAGAATTTTTAGGTCAGTTGGTCTATTTTACTAATAACACCAATAGTTCTGGTACCTAGTAGCTTTCATTTAATGTAAGAAAAGGGGTCAAAATTGATAAGATGAAATGTAAACAATAGTTCAAATAACCACCAAGAAAAAGGTCTTAACCCAGCACCTCATGCACAAACATAAGATGATTAGAGAAACTTCTTTATGTGACAACAAAATAAGACAAAAAGTCACAGTAAAACTCACCTTTTTCCTTCATAATTCTGAGGCCAATATGAGGAAATTCAGAAGCCTGGGCAGCAGGTAATCTAACTAGCAATATTGCATTGATATGTTCCAAATATGCACTCTGCATGAATATACAGGTATTAGATCACCTTCGATTTAAAAAAAAAAAATTGGAAAAACTATCCACCAAAAACATACATTGCACTTCTTATCAAAGAACCATTCACAACTCAAGGTAACCTAATAAATAGCTACTAACCAGTAAATCATCAAAACTTCCTTTTTCCATATCAGGCAAATCAATTAATTTCAAAGGAGTAGCTGCAAAATAATACATAAATAAATAAAAAGCAGCAAAAATAGGCAGGGTCCTACTGACAAAAACAACCAAACACTTGAGGCATGCTATCAGCATTCTAATGTATACTGTAACAAATACTTCATCTTCACTTCTATGCCAACTATGCAAATATCCTTTTGCTTATGTAGATGAATAATTTATATACAGGTTACATTACAACAAGACCATGGAAACTAGTTTCTAAGGACATAAATACCTAAAAAAGTAATTCTAAACAGCAAACCATCCAAACTTATGATACATAAGTGTACAGCTACAAAAGCATGCAAATCAAATACAGAATTATGATATGCTAAAAGAATATTGAGGTCTCTAACCTGCATAAAGTGCAACAACTGTTTACATAAATCAAAGTTCCCAAAAGATCTCATCTTCACTATAACAAGTGTTCCTAGTACTAGCAAGCAATAATATAAAAATTTTCAACTGCTTGCATTCTAGCTTCCCATAGACACTGCTCACCAACTCTAAAAGAAAGTATAAAAAATTCATAGGCCAGAATGGAATCATCAGAAGATGCAAACTTGATGAGAATTGCCACTACCAGATATCAAAGAACCAGTTTCCTGAAAAACATATCACACTAATGAACATTGCCATCTACATCAGCTAGAACATGTGTGATAAGTCACGCTATTCTTTGTCATCCATTCATACATCTTTCAGAATCTCTAGACAAGGCCAGCAATTTTAACTCATAATTTATCAAAACCCAGTATGTTTCTATTAAAGAACTAGTAAACAAAAACTATATATATTACATGTTCGTATTAGTAATTTTACTTGGTGCTCATCAACTAAAGAATTTAAGTATATACATTCAGACCAAGAGGAAGTAAACTTACTCTTTGGAACACTTCAAAAGAATTTCTCCTGGTGTCATCTAATAACAATGAAAATTGATTTCGCTCAGCAACAACTTCTACATGCAAAGCAACAAACCAACTGGCAAACTATACCTTTTCTTCCTTTAAGAAGACTAAAAATAGGAAGGACAATGAAGGAGTAACACACCAATTTCTGTTACCTTTTTCTGAAATTAATTCCCAATTCTGCCTCTTTGAAATGTATATTTCACTATAGCCTTATACAAGCAGGAAGCTCACTGGAAACTTCCTTCAGTAGTGAAGTATCTGCACTAAGACAAATAATCGTTATTTTAAGGTATAATATAGCCAGACTCTGCCAATCATTCAAGTGAAAACTATATGATTATGGTAATACTTACCATTACAAAAAACCAGCAAACAATGAAGACTGTGGCACTTCTAATGGATCATTTGTGACCATGTAAAAGCATCCACATCAGTGGCTAAAGAGGATACTCACAGGTTCTTAGAAGGCAAAAGGACAAATCTTGGATTTGCCACATTTCCCTAACTCACTGAAACCTTAAGCTCTTTTACATCACTGTTATGAAACCTGTAGTCTTCAATCATGGTCTGCAAGATCTGTGAAGCTTCCGATATCACTACTTTTGGTAGATGCTGGTCTAATAACAATGAATATCTCATGGCAATGTGGAGCTCTTGCTCATTTAAACTGCAGGATATGATGCTTCTCCATTCCTTAGAGCACCCTTCCAAGCACACGCCATGAAGCAGGGAAGCAAAAGCTACAGAACTAGAATTGCAGCCCATACTAACCATCTTATCATTCAACCTCAAAGCAGTTTTGAGCATTCCATTCAAGCAAAGGCAAGCAAGAATAGAACTATAAGCAGCAACCCTGGGAATGCATCCATCAGATATCATCATTCTGAAAACATTCAAAAGCATAGAAGGGATATATTCACAAGGCTTGCTTCCCTGATCAGAATTCAAATGTTTTCTGCTATTTGATAATCCATTTACCAAATAATTAAATGTAGCATCATTGGGATTGCATTTGCTCATCAGCATTTGTTCAAAGAAAAAGGAGGCTTTTGTAAGTTTACCTGCCTTGCAAAAGCTTCCTATCAATATAGTGTATGTGACAACATTAGGCATCAAACCATGTGATTGCATCTCTTTCAATACATTTTCAGCCCCACGAAAGTCCCCCTTGCGGCAGAATCCATTAATCAGAGATGTATATGTAACGACATTTGGTTTGCATTTTTGTTTCACCATTTGGTTAAAAACCCCTAGGGCACCATCCAAGTCATGTTCCTTCACATAGCCATCTATAATTGTGGAGTAAGTAAACTCATCAGGAGAAATATGGTTTTTTAGCATTCTTTTCACGCACAACATGGCATCCTTCATTTTTCCAAATTTACAATAGCCCTTAATCATGGTGTTGTAACCCACCACACCCGGATCAACACCTTTCTCAATTAGGAATGCAAAGAGTTTCTCTGCCTCCTGAAGCTCTCCATTTCTAACATATCCGTCAATTAGAGTTGCATAAACAAATGCATCGGGCAGTACATTTTGGTCAAGCATCTTAGCCAGTAGCTGTTTGGCAACAGGAAGCCTCCCTTTCTTACAAAATCCATTCATCAAAACATTGTAAATACCAGCATCAGGTAATACTCCTTTCTCCTCCATTTTATCACAAACTGCCAGTGCAGTATCTACTTCACCTGCAGCAACAAGCCCATGGATAAGAGCCCCATAAGTGACCACATCAGGGTTATCTCCTATTTCTGTCATCTTGATTAGTATTTCTGAAGCCCTTATGAATTTTCCTTGTCTGGAATAGACCTGTAAAAGAGGAGTATACGTGAACCTGTTGAGCATCAATCCCTTTCTTGTAGCCTCCTCTAGAAGCTGTTCAGCTTCCTCAACCTTCTCCTTTTGACAAGAACCATAAATTAACGTATTATAGGTCACAATATCTGGTGTGCAACCACTATCAATAATCTTTTGTATAGCGGCCACTGGCTTCATCACAAAACCATGCCTATATTGAGCATTGATAACATTATTATAAATTTGAATTGTAACTTTTAAACCCCTTGCCTTCATTTCATCCAAGAGCCTATCAATTGCCTTAAAATTACCTCCCTTGCAAAACCCATTGATTATAGCACCATATGTTTCCACTGCAGGCAAAAACCCCTTCAATTTCAATTCCCTAAAAAGCTCAGAAGCCCTTTCAATATTATTTTTCTTGCAATAGCCATCAATGAGAGTATTGTAAAAAACAACATTCGGCATACAACCCTTTCCCCACCTATCCTCGACCAACTTTTCTGCTTCCTCAATTTTCCCTTCTTCACAAAGACCTCTCACCATTATACCAGTGCTATAATTGTCAATATAAGGATTATCGCCTCCTGCATCTCTTTCAATCATTCCATCATACATCTGACGTGCAAACTCAATTCTACCACCCTTCACAAGCGCATTGAGTAAAGAATTGAAAGCGAAAACACTTGGAACAGTATTATACTTAGCAAGCGCAGTTCCATAAATTTCAAGAGCTTTATCAAGCAATCCAGAATCCGAATATGCTTGAATTACAGCGTCTAAAGCTTCGCGAGTAGGTATCTCATCTTCAACTTTCATACGTTCCAACAGAGCCTCAATCTCTGGAAACACTCTAGACTTTGCCAAGAGCTTTAGAAGTGAAGAATAAACACACCCATCAAGGGAACTGCCATAAGGGCGTGCGATTACCCAATCAAAGAACTTTAACCCCAATTCGGCATCGCGAATTCGATCTAAAACCAAATGGGCTATATCCGATGCGACGACTTCTTCTTCAGAGAGGCGATTTTCCAGGGTTTCTTCCCATTGATCGCGGGTTCTAAGTATTCCGCAGAGTTCATTAACGAGTCTCTTTATGTGGGGTTTAAAGGGAAAGTTTCGGGCAGAACTGTGCTTGGGATTGTGCCGAGCTTTTATTCGGGATAGAAGGTTTCGGGACATGAGAGAGCGAGCGAGTACTTGGTTTGCTATAATGAAGAAGGACAACACGCATTGATACCTTTGGCTTCTTCCCCCCACTCCAGTACAAATGGAGCAAGGTCGAAGTTCAGATACCGAAACCATACGAGCTCCTGCTTCGTCTCTGATATTTACCAAGAGAGAGGAAAAAGGATATTCCCTGTAAGATTTTCGGAAAATTTATTTACATATCAGGGAGTTTGATTTGTCAAAACTTACAGTTTTTTCCATGATTTTTGAAAGTTATAATTAATTATTCTTTAAATTAAAAGTCCTCGTCTACTAAAAAATTAAAACCTAATTTCTTCAATTTGTTTAAAAAGATCAATAAAGACTTTACAGTAGAGCTAGATTTGGGAACAAACCAAAAACAGTTTATAATTTAACACATGTACATTTATTGTATCATTATAAGTGGATGTTAATAATATAAAGCATAATATGTTTCTATAATTTGCTTTTCAATATTAAAGTATAAAAATTAACATTCTACATAGTTCTTAGAGATTAAAGAAAAAAACATACGGTTAAAAAATTAAAGGATAAAAACGTTTTATTTTCTTCTAATTTGTTTAAATGACACTCAATTTCATTTTTATTCTTACAAAATATTTTTTTCTTTTGATTTAAGTTGTCTAACAATTTTCTTAATTTCATTAACTTGTTGTTTAATAATATTAGTTTAAAATTTCAAATTAAATTTTTTATATAAAATAAAATAATTTTTTTATCATCTAAAATTAAATTGTTCACTACAGTCAAAAATGTTAACAAGTTGCTTGATATAATATGAAAAAATTAAAAATTTTAAAACTTAACTTATTAAGAATTTAATTTTACCTTTATTTAAAAAGTTTTAGATTTTTTTATTTGGCATTCCTAACCAAATTATTTGAAAACACAAAAATAAAAAATAATAGTTCTATTAAAAAAGAGTTGAGCTTAATCTAACTTCACCTGTTAGAGTTAATTAAAGTAATATTAGATTCACTTAAAAAATATATTTTTTAAATTTATAATTTTTAGTTTTCAAACTAAAAATTTAACTTTGAATAATCTAATTTCACTAGTTTTTATTATATAATCTAATTTTTTAGAAATGGTAAAATTAAATTTGTAATCAGTTAAATTTCTTTACTATTTTTGAATTTTTAATTTTTTTGATCATATCAAGTTAATACAAAATTCTAAAAACCAGAAATTCAAAAAAAATTACTTTTTTAATGAACGAAGTAATTTGTTAATATTGTTTTGCTATAATTAGCAATTCAATCTTATATGACAAAAAATTTATTTTATTTTTATAAAAACTATATTTATATGATATATAACAAAAAATTTAAAATTGATATTATAAATTAATATTTGTTAATGATAAGTGAATAAAAATTAATAAAATCATTAATCAACTAGTTAAAAGAGACTTAAATTTTTTAAAAATAAGAATAAAATTAAATATTATTTAAGTAAATTTAGACAAAGAGAAATATTTTTTACCCAAAATTAAAATTATTTTATGACTTACGTTTAGATTAACTTCATGGAGATTTCACATTTTATTGTTATTGAACAATTAGAGATTTAATTTGATTTACTTTCATTGGATAAGTATATACAGATTGCTTTCAAATAAACATATTAACAACATGTTTTTTTTTTTGAAAACAAATCCAGCAAATCAATATATATATATATATATATATCACAATTATAAGAGCCTTAAGAAGAGCAAACCAAGAAAAAGAAAAAGAAAAAGAAAAAATTTACAATTTTACAGCCTAGCTGTCAAGATCCCTGCTGCCCGGGCCTGAAGTCCTCTTTCTCTGCCACCATGGAGAGATTCTCTACACATCACCCCGCCTTGTCCGCACATCTGCAGCGCCACGTTATCTCTCAGTGGCTCTCTGTCCAAACAGGACTTGGACTTCCAGGTTCATTGCTTCGTTAAATATTTACTTCATCGTGTAAAAAAAAAATATAACAAAGAAATAATTAAGACTTGAAACGTAAAATATTTTTTTTAAAAATATTTATGTGATTTAGAAGATGAATAAGATAAATTTTTTGCAAAATATAATAAGCTTTTAATGATTGATATTTTGTAAAAATAATTTTAAATATGTATATATATATATATATACACGCACACACATTGACAATGTGTTGATTAGATTAAATGGATGTGTCATTTGAAATTATTACTAATATGTTTTTTAAGAATATTACTATTAATCTGAATTTGTTTAAATTTAATTATAATTTTTTTTTTTATAAAAATTAAAATTAAATAAAATAAAAATTACTCTAGTTAAATCAAAACGAAACCAAGTCTAAATTCATTAAAATTTAAATATATATACACACACACACACACAAACAAAACCTTCCAAGATAACTGGTAGATTTATTATTTTTATTAAACTAAACTTAAATTTCTATATATACCACAAACCTTCTCTTTAAATATTTAATATGAGACAAAAACACAATTTTTACTCGCAAACTACTCGATACACCATACCCCTCCCAGGATTCTCCAGATACTTTCAAGAGTAGGTGCTTTAGATGGTCCATTTTCTCGGATTCTTTTCTGCTTATGTGGCAGGAAGGAACAAAGGAGGAAGATAACGTTTAAACATACATACATATATATATATATATACACACATATGTGTGTGTGTGTGAGAGAGAGAGAGAGATAATAAACCGGGTAAAAGCCCAAAAAACAAAGAAACTGACGAGAAGGCAGGTCCCTTAAACATCAAAAGAGACTCAGATTATGGGGGAGTAACATTTATAGTTTTTTGTTGGTCACTGTATTATCACTTGAATCCACTCAGGTTTATCGAATGTACCTTACTTTCCTCTCATTTTATTTAAAATTTGCACATTGTCGTATCATTCTAAATTGTTGTTAATTTTATAAAATGGAAGCCAATCACAGTCATGGGTGTATAGCTTTAGAAGATAAAATTGATGATATCTATTGATTATTTACAAATTAAAATTGCTTTAAATTATCATTAGTTGGAAAGGAAAAAAACTAATATTTCAAACTACAATCTTACTGACACATTCCCAGAAGTCACTTTTACCTCAGCTTCACATGTATCCATAAGAAAGTACAATAACAAATAGGAAAAAAAAAAAACTACAATATCCAAAATAAATACCATTTCCAATAACTAATCACAAGTCAGCAAGTAAATATATAAGATCAAGTGTGATTTTAAGAAGTAACAAATCAACCAATCATAAAACTTAATATAACCGTTTTTATTATCCGGCATGAATTTAGAATTCACTACTTGATTTTATCTCGTGATTGCGTCTTGATTTTACACAAGTTACTTCTCGTAGAATTCCCTTCCAATTGTTGGCTACCCAAAATATCTATTTTGTTGTACTAGCACTGCTAATAACCAGTCGTACATCCTCCACAAAAGTAAGTTCGCAAGGAATGGCGTGCCTCAACAGAGGTAACTTCACAATACAACCCAAATCCCCCTTCTTGAAAACGGAAAAAGGAAAAAGAAATTGACACAAAAGATACTTGGAGATACCAACTTCATTAGTGTCTTTTACTATTAGAGGCAAAAATTGAATTCTTACATCATCTTATAGAACTACATCACTTGAGTCAGGAACCTGCTATTATGTGAAAAAGTTCAAGAATAATACATATCGCACTTGCACCTCAAAATCCAAAACATGCAGACATCAGAAATGCAAATGAAGCTGCAAGCAAACTATCTACACAAGACTCCTATTTCCAATTCTATAAGAACTACGAGTATAACAATGAGCTCAACAAAAGCTCCAATGGGGAGTCCCACTCCCTGACAAGAATTGTATGAATTTGATGTATCCCAAAATTTTATCTCAATATTTGAATGAAGAACCAGGTGGTGCAGGTGCCATTCGAGTGGGCGTGCGGCGGCTGCTGGATCTTGAGCTTGAGCTTATATCGCCATTTTCAAGCGAATCACTGTGTCGACTGTAACCATTGGAGCCATACCTCGATGAGCCACCATACGAGTCAGCAGAACCATTAGCTGCAGAATCAAAAGCAGATCTCCAATCATCACCAGGTCCACTTCTTGGGCTGCTTTCTGCATAAATCAATATCCAAAACTGAATTAGCGAAGGAAACAATCATCATATTTAAATGTCTGTTCATATTTGTTTTTGGTTTTCTGTTTTTTATTCTTCATTTTTGTTAATGTTCTGGAAACAGAAAAAGTTAGAAATCTTGACAACTCTATTGTTATATCAGAGTCATTTTCAAGTGATCATAGTTCCAAAGAATTCTGAAAAGCCCTTTTTGTTTTCTAAAAACAGGCTCGTTTTCTTGAAAAACAAAAGCTTTGGAAAATAACCAGCCAAATGGGTTTTCTGTTTCCAAAAAGAAGAAAATTGTTTTAAAAGACAAGCCCACAGAGGACCAAATAACAAATAAAAGCAGAAGCGCAGAAGACACTTCCACATGAAAGAACCAAAAGCACTGGAATTGAGATTGCAGCAATCTACAAAAGCATCATCTCTGTATGCAAACAGTACAACAATTTAATGCACGTAGATACAGCATGCACAACAACTACAATGACAACTACAGTGAATTAAAGCGCTGACCACAATATCTAAAAATGTGTTGATATATACCACCAACCACAAGAAGCCCCAAGGTTTCAATGGCTTCTCTTCTCCTCTCTCTCTCTCTCTCTGTGAGACCTTAATAAACTGACAAACCTGAACACGTTCACAGTTGATGGGGGGTTGTATATGTAAAACCAGTTGAGTCAGGCTAATTACAGTTTTTGGGCCCAAAACTACTCCATCCTATGTTGTGCAAAAATTGGTGACAGTCTAATTCTACGGTACAAAAAACCTATTTAGTAAAATTGACTAGCTCATCACATGCAACACAACACTCGGACTTAGAATGCCTAGATATGCATTAAAATATCAATTCATACATACCAATAAATGACAATGCTATCTAAAAATACAAGATAAAAGCAAATGGAAAAGGCTCAAGTTCGTCACCTGGTCCAACACCATTTTCCAACATGCCAGAGGTTGCAGCTCCCCGATTGTCATGAATGCTAAGTTGCCTAGTGAGTTTTGAAAGAAGGGAGGATTGCTTCTGATAGCGATCCCTTCTGCGCTTTACATTTTGGTCCTCCTGCAGCAACTCTTCAATCCTTGCAGTACTTTGAGCACTATATAATTGAAATACATAAAAAAAGACCTTAAAATAACAACAATATAATAATTTAGAAGATCAAAAGTTCACATTTTTATCACATGCATGTTTCAGTCAGCAAATATGGGACGATAAACAAGAAGAACAGGTATAATTGACGTTTCTTGTGGTTCCATTATTTAAGAACCAGGACAATCTGTTCATATGTGGAGCATTATTAGTTAGCCCCAAGCTTTGCTTCCCATTAAACTGTTGTTATTACATAATATGCCAGAAACACGTATAACCCCCCCACCCCCCCCCCAAAAATAAATAAATAAATAAATAAATGTGTAGATAAAATAAACATTCTGCAATGGTCAACAACATTCCATGACACAGCCATAGGAAGTAAACTATGTTACATGCAACCAGCTATAAGCATTGGGTTTTACACTTCCACACCGTTTCATGTTTAGAATGAAGATACTGATTATATCAGAATCAGAACTGCAACCAAACAACATTTAGCAAAAACATGGTCCTTTTATCTCTATCTAAATAAGAAATTAGAAATTCCTTTTCACTATGAATTTCAGCATATTTATCCCCAAGCATCATAAAAAAGATTAGAGGATCTAAAGTTAATCATGTGATTGGGCACTTCTTATCCTTACCATGTCTGGACTATATGTGAAGCGGAACAAAAGATCAAGGTAACATAGGAATATATTACCTACAGAAATAAATAAATGCACCTAACCTGACAGAACTGTACAGCTTAGTAAGCATATCTTCCTTAGCCTTCTCCACTTGGCAAAGAACCACAGCCTACATAGCCAGAAAATATAGGATTGGTAATAAAATACAATATAAAGGTGAAAGAGTGTCAGAGCAAAGGTGGCATTGAGAAATTAAACTAACTTTTGGAACATTGGCAGCAAGGCTGTTCAGAACAGCTTCAATATATCCACGTACTTCTTGAGCCATCCACCTGAGTTCTTCCTCTGGATCAGCAGGTCGTCTGGCCATTGTATCCTAATTTCCACAAATAGAGAATCAGTTCAGGGTAAAAATATAAAAAAACCAAAAAAAAAAAAAAAAAAACGAAAAAGCAGATCACCTGCAACTGAAAAACAATAGAGCAAAAGAATTTCAAGAATTAGAATTAAAATAGAAAAAAAATAATGTCTAAGTAACTAAAATTTATGAGTTATATGAACCACAAAATAATTTGAAACCCACTTCCAGAGAACCAACAAAATTTACAAATCAAGTTGCAACATTTAACTGTCATTAAGAATAAAACAAGCACTATAAACAAACTTACAAGAGAACCATCAGACAGACTTTGCCGCATTGGCAAACCAGATTCACCCTTCATGTGACTGCCATAAGAAATTTGGGCTATTTTTCCTAACTTGTTTAACCACTCAACCTTATCCGCCATACTCTCAGCTTTTAGGATAACAGAGTTGTGAGCTGAAATATAATAACATTTCCATTAGGACATATTGCAGCAGAAAAATAAAAGATCATTTTAGAAGTTAAAGCAGTTCTTGAACATCAATGTCATTAGCCTACCTTTAAGAACAGTCTTGTATGGAACCTTGCTTGTGAATTTCAGTACAAGACCAGGTGCTTTACCAGAATCAGGTCCACTAGCCTTCTCCTTTTCCTTGGAACTCTTCTCCTTGTCCTTGGAACTCTTCTCCTTGTCCTTAGAACTCTTTGAAGAAGGCTCTTCATCATCAGACACTTCTTCGACAATACATTCCTAAATAATGCATCCAATATAAACAGAATAACATTACAATCATTCATCTTAATTTGGTGTTAAATTCAAAACCTCAATTTTCCCAAGTCAAGACAAGCATAGTAACAGGCATAGACAAGTTGATTGTCTTTGCACTCATTATTTTTGTACAGCAATAAGTTTGCCAGTAGAAAAGTAATTCTAGATTGAATTTAAGAGTACATCAGTACCTCCAAGGTGATGACGCCATGAAAATGTGCTTCTTCCTGCTTTTTGGTGTATCCAAGCTGCAAAAGGAACTTAGTATCAGGAAACTGAAGTAGTGATAAAACTAAAATCATAACCACATATACCAAACATTATATTGAGGACCAAGAATATTCAATCACCAATTTTATTTAACATTAAACACCTACCTTCTGCAGTTCTTTTCTTCCCCAATAGAACCTTTGAAATGGTAACATCTTAATTAAATAACTATTTCATATTTCGGCTTTGAGAAATTTGCCAAGTAAACACAGATCCATGTTACTTTTATTATTTTTATTTGTACAAAAAAAGGTTTTTAACATTTTTTAAACTTCACAGTAATTCAGAAAATATGAAAGATATGTCTGCAAAAGGTTGTAAAAGTATTACTTACAAAATCCTACTCCACATATAATCACCAAAACACAGCACCAGTTACAATCACCACCAAAATGGCCATCACCTCAACCATTCTTGAGGCTATCAAAGTTTTATTGCCATAAACACTACAGCAACCATTCCCCAGGATTGGTGCTTAGTACTTACAGCCCACAGAGGCACTGACATCAGTACCAATGCTTTTCCTTCTATGCTGGCACAACCATATTGCATCCACTATCAAGGACCCATTCCCCTGACTCCACTGTGCAACTAATTTCACCTTAGCCAGCCCTGAGTTGCAACTTTATCTACCACCAACCAATCACCCCTTACCATCAACACTAACACTACTCCCACAACTACAGCATCCCACCAGATATACCAACCATCCCAGTACTACTATGATAATTTGTTTTGATAGCATTTCCAAACAACTACATTTTCATTAATATGTTTTAGCAAAAAACTGTTCATTAATCACCAAACATGTCCCTTTTTGGGGTTTTAAATAACTAACAGAAATCAGAAAACAATGTTACCCATACATGCCAGAGAGATATCTAGCTATGTTTCAAAGGAAATAATGAATATATCAGCCTGCATATGTGAGGCATAAAAGGAACTGCCAAGAACAGCAACCATGATGCAGCTGGCAATTTGCAAGTATTTGAAAATAATACAGATATAGTGAAAAGGTTCAAATGCTGAACCAACTTTGGCAGGTAGAGATGATAATATTAGTAAGTGCAAACCTTTCCAGTTTTCTCATTTAAGACAAACCACCTTCTTTTCCACCCATTATTTTTTGCACTTTTCTTCAACATAAAACCTGAAATTACAAAAAGAAAACTCAAATATGATCAGAAAACGAGCAATCCAAGCAGAATTGTAAATTCATCGAAATACAATATTCATTCAAGCGTTGACCTCTTTTTTCTCAACCAGATTTACAGTAAGCATTAGCAATCAAAATGGGAGGAATAACAAAGGGAATCCATATCATAAATGTAAAAATCCAATCCAAAATGTTATTGCTTTAACCTGCTGTTATCTTCCCATCAGGGCCTGCAGTCTTCAAGCTTGAACCCTCTTGTACATCCTTCTCTTGCTGACTGGATTTATCCTTCATTGATTTTAAGCTCCCACCAATTTGCTGACCACCAGTTTGAGGACTAGTGGCCTAAAATGTACATGAAAAATATTAGAAAAACAGAGTGCACGGGGATATCATTTCAGCATGAGGTGATGCATAAATCACTTTGCCAAGGATAGGTGTGCAAGAAGTCCCATTAGTAAAAGTCTTGTGGAGAAACTAAAATCAAGAAGAAATGACTTGGGAGCAGGAGGAAGATACAAAGAAGAAATAACCCCATCGATTTGCTTCACAAGTATAGCTGAAATTCGGGGACAAAATTCTTTAAGAGAGGTAGATTTGTAACATCTCAACTCAAAGCACTCATCATGTATTATATATTTTATTTTGCATAAGCATAATTAGTGGGGTAATTAGCGGCTTAAATTTAATTTTAGAAGCCCATAAATCTTTAGAGGTAAGAAGGGTATTTTGCATTCACTTGATGGAAAAAAAAAAAAAAAGAGAGAGAGAAAAATATGATAATAAAATAATAAAAAGAAAGAAACAGATAATTACGTGAAGTTTTATGTTTCCCACTTTTCCACCGCCTTACACCTCCCCCTTCAAAGCCTTTAGATCCTGCATGAAACAGCAAGGAAAAGGGAGGAAAAGAGAGGGAGAGAGAAGAGAAAAGAAACCAAGGAGAAGAACAGGAGCTAGAAATCGAGACCAACGCAAGAAAATTTCAATTTAAATTCAGGTGAGTTCTTAAGAAAAAATTCTTTTGTATTTTCAATATAATCTTGTTTTAGTTTCTTTTAATCGGTTTAGATTTTTGTTTAAGTACTATTTTCATGATGAAAAATTAATGAATAATTCCTATCGATTTGTATTAATTCATATTAATTTTTGTTAAGAAGGTAACTAAATTAGTTTTGTACAAACAAGACCAAGCTGACACTAAAATTTGCCTAAACCCAACCTAAAAGTTCGCCGACCCACTTACGGATTATTTTTTATAAAAAAATAGCTATAGCTCATTTTGTGACCGTGAGCATACCTAGCTTGACAATGAGTATATATTAATATTTTGAGAATTTTCAGAATGTGTGTAGTACAACTTTTGACCCTAAGTAAAAAGGGCAGAAAATAGCCTAATTATGAATACATCTCATGTATGCATTAGCATATTCATGCATTTATACACAGTTCTTGCATGTCATTGATAACATATGTAATTACACTCTAGGAGAGACATACCGGCCAGTCAGTGAGGCCGACAAGATTGAGTCTAGGAACACACAGTATCAACAGAGATAAGTGGTCTTTATCCTAAACTCAATATTTTTCTAAAATAATGAAACTAACAATTTTTTTACAAATAAATGTTTTATTTCAAAACAAAAGGTTTTATGTTTCTAGAAATGTTTTTTAATTTATATGTTATGATTATTTTGCTATGTGAAATGAAAATAGGATCTCATTTTTATGCCGTATGTTATATATGAAAATGCTTGCAATTCACCTGAATAATTCACTAGATAGTAACGTTGCCATGGTAGCACTACATGACTTATTTGCCCAATGGGACCTTATGACACCATCAAGCCATGTATGTTCGTCCGTAGAGGTGATGTCCTATGGAACGACTCTCATGTCCAGTAGCACCTAGTGAATTCTTCTTATATTATATTTATGTCTACGTGCAAGTCAAGCCTCGTGTTTATTTATGGAATCGTTATGTTTTTGCTTCCCCCTTAACTCTTTTACAACATTTTTGCTATAACTCAACGAGTGAATTAGCTTTGTTTTTAAATTATGATTAGTGGAATTCTATCTCACAACGTGTTATTCAATAGCAGCTATGTTAGCATTATGAACTATTTTTATTTATGGTATTATACAACATATTCTTGTTTTATTAGTTTTATTTGGAAGACCATTCACTAAGACATAAATCTCATTACTTATTTATTTTTAAAATTTCAACAGTAGAGACTTGTAGTAGCATTACGTGCATCTAGCATATCAGCCTTTCGAGTCTAGAGAGGTTGAGCCCAACTCGTGTCATTAGTAGCTAGTTGGATTGTTGCTTGGAAAGTGAAAGTTAGTTGTATTGTAAGTAGATTTTGTGTTAGAAAAGAGAATTTACGTAAAATAATTATGTTTTTAGTGATAATAATGACTTTATTTTCCTATTATGTTTTGTCAAATTATATTGTGTTACTTAGTTCATTAAATGTGAGTTATAAACTAGACTTAGCAAGCACGATAGTCGAATAAGGTTTAGCATTCTCCGGTGAATCCCGCGCACTAGTGATTGCTAAATCCTATTTCACTATCACACCTCGCTCGAGTTACGGATGGTGTGTGACAATAAGTGCACTACCCCCATGGACAAACACAAATGACTTGTCGGTGTCGTAAAGCCCCATTGGGCAAATAAAGCATGTAGTACTGCCGTAATAACGTGACTATTCAGCGAATTATCCAGGTGAATTGCAAACATTCACATACATACCATGCAACATAAAAATGAGATCCATATTTCCATTTCACATAGCAAAATAATCATAACATATAAATTGAAATGCGTTTCCAAAAAAAAAACTTTTGGTTTTGAAATAAAACATTTATTTGTAAAAAAAGTTTTTTAGTTTCCTTGTTTTAGGAAAATTCTAAGTTTAGGAGAACGACTACTCACATTTGCTTATACTGTGTGTGCTCGGACTCGATCCTATTGACCTCACTAACTGGCCAGTATGTCTTTCCTAGAATGGAATCACATATGTTATTAATGATATGCTAGAATTGTGTATGAATGCATGAATAAGCTAGTGCATATGTGAGTTGTATTCATAATTAAGACGTTTTTTGCCCTTTCAACTTCAAGTCAAAAGTTCTACTATACTCGTACTCCGAAAATTCTCAAAATATTAATATATACTCATTGTTAAGCTAGATATACTGGAGTATGCTCAAATTCACAAAAGAAGTTATAATTATTTTTTTATGAAAAATAATCCGTAAGTGAGTCAGCGAACTTCTAGATTGGGGTTTAGGCAAATTTTAGTATCAGTTTGATCTTATTTTTACTAAACTAATTTAGTCACCTTCTTAGAAAATTAATATGAATTAATAAAAAAATTTAATATAAATCGATAGAAATTATTCTCTAATTTCTCATCATGAAAACAGCACTTAAACAAAAATCTAAACCGATTAAAAGAACCAAAAATGCAACTAGATTCAAAATAAAAAATTTCCTTTAAGAAACTCACCCGAAATTCAATCAAAATTCCCTTGCCTGAGCTCGGTTTCCGTCTCCCGTTCTTCTCCCTGGCTCCCTTTCTCTTCTCTCTCTGTTTCTCCTCTCTCTCTCTCTCTCTCTCTCTCTCTTTTTTACGTAAACTTTGTAAAAGTAAAGCTTTAGGAGAGCCTTCATGAAGATGGTGGAAAAGTGGGGTGCATGAAACCCCACATAATTCTCCCTTTCTTTCCTTTCTTTTATTTTATTATTATTATGTTATCATTTTGTTACTATTACTATTATTATTTTATTATTTTGTTACTAGTACTGTTATTATTTCTATTTACTCTATATCCACGCGAAACGCGAGCATGGATACATATATATATATATTTTTTTATTATTATTGTATTTATTCATTCTTCCTCTCTTTTTTTTTTTTTAAATTGCGAAATACCCTTCTTGCCTAGGTCGTGGATGGACTATTTTACTTAAATCCATATTTGTATTCACATGGCTTCATCAAATATATAAAAGACTATATAATAGACCAAAATGAACCTAAAAGCCCAACCTTGCCACTCAGGTGAGATCACACTCTTTGGTGGATGAACTTATATATATTGGTCATAACATATATGTTAGATTCAAGAATCATCAAGAATAAGAACTATTTGATAATCCACCATGCAACGGGAATGCATAAAATTGTTGCATCTTGTCCCCCCCCCCCCCCCCCCCCCCAGGCGGAAGCTAGACATGGATTGCAAAGCTTAAAATTATAGTTATATGCTCTCACAAATTTTGGATTAAAATTATATATTCTCTCATAAATGTTGAAAGGTCACTTGCGGTGCTTTTTTATTTATAAGATTTCATATGCATTTGTAGCATTTACACTAGTATAATATGATGGTAAACCATGTTTCAATCTAAAGACCAAGTTATCTTTATGGGTTGAGAAGATTTATCTTCAATCTCTGAATAGCCCACTTTGATGAGGTTGGGGGAGAAAAGGGAAAAATACCTTTCTTGATTTGGATTTGCTCGTCATATTTGAACTTTGAAAGAGATGAAAGAGAAACCTACACTATCCTGAAAATATCACTCCTCGAACACATATCCACACAAAGTTGGTATTAGAACTTATTCAGAAAGGTCAAACCTCATCTGATCCTGTCTTCTCCCCTCACTTGTAGACCCAAAAGAACTTATTAATAAACATGATCCCATATATTTGGTTAAAGCACCCCCGTAACCAATAAAATCCATGAGAGAGAAGGATTTAAATTATTTGATCAATGGGATTCATAACTGAATACTTGAAAATGGATGAAAATTGGCCTCACCTAACTCAACCTGCTTTTGTTTGGGTTAGGCCAGGTTCAGAGTTTCAGATGGCCAAGGTTGGGCTGGGATAGTGTTCAACTAAATTGCTAAATTGGGCTAGGTTTAAACATATTTTATCCCAATCCAACTCACCCAACTTTTACCCTAATAACGAACCTAAAATGCAATAATTATTATATATAACATAAAGTATGATAAACAATACAATTAACTTTTTGACATCAAAAAGAAGCATGTGTACCCTGTTCAATATGGATTGCTCTCCATCAAGTGGCCTTTTAGATGATCGATTTTTTAGTTCTTCCTCTCGTCGCTGCCTATCCATCCTGTCAAGAGTGAACAACCAATTGGAATTAAGAAGTAGAAAATTTAAAGAGCATTTCAATTTTCATTTTAAATATAAAGACAGTTGAGTCAAAATGATAATTTCAAATAAAGAATCATCAAAATAAGACAAGTAATAACCACACCACAAAAAACAAAAGGAAAAATACACAGCATAATCTTGCCGCTGAAATGACATATACTTGACTTGCCATTGAAGCACTGAAAATTAGGTGGATAAATCATGCTTATATCAACAAATTTTAGCAAACTCTATACAAGTACTAATAATATCTGACCAAGATTCCTAGCTCAGTCCATAGAAATTCAACCACCTATACGCCCTTTGCATGGCCAAGCTGAAGAATAGACAGAGCAGTCATGCATGACATCAGGCACCCTAATAAAACTAAAAACTTCTACACACGCACGCGTGCATGTGCACACACAAATATAAATCATTCTTATCTTTAGGTGTGCACTGCATGCTTACAGGCAAAATGAACATCCATCTATAGAATTTGTCGTTGTAAGAAGCAAGATAGCTCCGTCACAGTAGTCACATGTTCCATCTTCATTATGAGATTTAAAGAGCATACACTGTAACAAATAATATGTCTTCACCAATGTATATGGAAAAATCCCACAGTAACACAGTACTCACATTTTCACATTATTGGGAAAATCAGAAGGCAATAAATCCATATGCTATGGAACCTCTAATAATTTCAGCAAATAATTGGTCCAGACACCATCCAGTAACCATTTGCCTAAAAGCACCATCATTAGAAATGGAAGAACTTAAAGCTATGACACTAGATGTAGTACTATTGCCAGAGGCCCTCCAACATCCAATAATCTTTTTTATATATTTTAATAAATCAACAAATAAGGTCATTGCCCAATGATTGAGCATACCGCCTCTGAACCAAACGGATGAAATGTTGTGGAGGAACAAATGCCCGTTCCATATCAACAAGAGCAACCACCATGTTCTTTGCTTCAGCTTTAAAACCATCCAATGCAGCACTAGCTATTGCCACAACCTACACAGAAGGAGAAAACATTAGCACATCTAGCCACATTTAAATACAAAGATATAGAGCAACAAGGAAAATTACCTCTCTCTTAAAAGGAGGATACCTTCCAAGGCCTGGTGTGCCATTTGCAGCTGCAGTAACTATATCCACAAGGACACGGTGCACCTGATTTTATAGCACATAAACAAATTAGACCACAGCATGAAAGCAACCAAAAGAAATACAGATTTCAACTTCATACATATGCATAAAAAATAAGTGGCCAAGTAACTGAACTAACTCACAGTTGCAGTGGGTCCAAAAAGTACCATCTTCATCAGATAGCTTTAGTGTATCAGTATGATATTAAGGAATAAAATATTGAAAGACAATAGGACATCCAACACGGTCCAAGGTGTGCAACCATATGCTTGAATATATACAGCATTATATGCAAAAACTAGAAATTTGGCAACGAATACCAACTCACATAAGGAAGAAAACTAAAAGCAAAATGCAGAGAACTAGTTAGAGGTTCAATTAGATAAAATCAGTCAAAAAAAGTTACAGAACTGGAGTGCGAGCCATTGATCAGTAAAGGTACAGCAGCATATGGTCAAATTCTATAAAACAACACTTCAAGAAGATTTTTGTGTCCTGTTAGACATCCACACTTCTTGGACTAAGAGAACCCCAAATATGAGCAGAGCTTTTAATAAACTCATCTACATTTGAAAATAAATTGCACAAATTTTTAATGCAATTTTCAAATACTTATAAAACAGTTCGACTTAGCACCTAATCCTTGTAACTAATGTCTGACATCATAGGAAATACAAATCAAACCTTGGATAGACAAAGAAAAGATACAATTATTATACATGTAATAAATATGTAAGAAAATATATATCATTCAACCTCTCCATCTTGTTATGTAGTATAATTTAGATTTTCCTGATCATGCTATGAATAGTCTGGGGAAAAAAAAAGACAAGCATACAGGCCTCAGCAACCATGTAAGAGAAGAGAAGATAGCCACACAGTATATATTAGGAGGAAACAATTGGTATAATAAAATCAAAGCCTCTAGCTCATTTGAAGGGTTAAGAATCCTTATCCTATAAAGAGAGGTGAAAATCACACAAGAAATCAATACAGAAGAAAACAAATGTGTTATACTATTTTACCTCATCAACACAAAGATGTGCAGGTTCTTTCGCCAGCTCCAGAACACCTTTTATAAGAGACCTCAATCCCTTCTCGGGGGATATAAGATAAGGTTGGTAACCATCCGCTTCAAGTACGATCTGTAACCAATTTAAACAGGTCATTATTGAAGCAACTAAGAGGGGAAAACCAAGTTTGATTTGAGGGAAATGCAAATTATTAATACTAAAATATACAAGAATGTATACCCTTTTGACATTGTTTATGTCAAAATGTCTGTCTAAAGGAAGTTGTTTAATCCTGTTAGGGAAACTACCCTCGAAACTGGCAACAATTTTCCAACCACTGCCCTGCAAAGTATTTATAGGAAGAACTAAGGAAAGATAGTCCAGTTCTACTTTAGAGATGAAACTTAATGTAAATATAATTTACAGACAAACAAGTCCAAGCATCCGTCATTGACAATGGCATCATGCTAATAGGCTATTTACACAATAAAGAGGATAAAAATAGTACAGTTTTGTATCACTTGTTACCAGATTCCAAAACTGAAAATCAAGTAGTGCAAAACAAGACCTTACCATCACAACCAAAAAATAAAATAAAACAAAATCAATCTAATAAACACCAAGCAATTCAAAATACATATATTAGTATTCAGAAGGACCTAAAGTAACCAGTTTACTATGAACACATCAGCAATTAACCACAGGCCCAGCTGTTTAATCAAAAGCAAAAAAAAAAAAAAAAAAAAAAAAAACAACTAAAAAATATCCTTTTGAACACCAAATGTGAAGGCCCCAAATTTATAGACATAGTATGCATTATAATAATAGCCCAGAAATTAGTGTATCAACTATAGTTCGAGTAGCTTTGTTGGTTTGCAACTCTCTCAGGACATAACTGTATGAAATTCATTGCTCTGCTAAAATAATCCTCCCAGTAAAAGGCCCAAAAATCACAAATTTCTGAACATGTAAACTTTAAACACATCAGCAATCATGCATGGAAAAAATTAGCCTTCTTTATTTTTGCTCTTATCAGGACCACATGTCTATGCAAACAAATAAAATATATATAAAAAAAGAAATGATAAAAATAAAAGGCTGCAATCCACAGAATCACATCAGGAAAAATCAGGTAGCTTCCTTCAAGTAAGCTACTTTATGATATTTGAGCAAGCAAACCAAACCTGGTTTGCACTTTTTAAGGGTTTTGAGAAATTCAATCCAATGATGATTCATTCACCATGAGAAAAGACCCCACGGTAATTTCAAATAGTCTATACATAGACATGATGAACACTGTAGAAGTAAAAATCTATATGCGGCCATAATGTTTCTTCACGCCTGTATGCCAGCTAATACAGGAGCCTACGCTGAATTACAGTCTACAACATTACCCATGTTTGTTACATTGGAATTGGATCTCTTACACCTCATCCATGGATTCAATTTCCCTTTAGCTCCTCACAAAGATGGACACCCTCCAATTACACTGTCTCACTTTTCCAGCCACAGTCTCATTCATTTAAAAATGAAAAAAAGGAACTCTTAACCAGGAAGTGACCAAAAGGTTTCTTATATAATGAAAAACTATCAAGACCCAGTCCATATAAGACACACATCATAAACCCTATAATTCTTCATCCAGTTTGCAACTCCATTCATTTAACATGCAACAATACTTTTTTCTTATTTCTCTTCACAAATCATGATAGGAAACTTTCAGAAATCTCAAGATATTTTGCCTATAGAAACTCATTAATATTCACATCAGATATATAATTATCCACAAATGTGGTTTTCTTTTTTAACCTAAATTCTCACCTCACCAGTTGTAATATGTTGCAGAAATTTATCCTCAAATTCACGGCAAAGTTCCAATGCCAAAGCTCTTGTACCTTCGGCACTTTGAACCATTGATTCTCCAAGCCTTACTAATTCATCTTGCACTGCTTGAGACTTCCCCTGAAGCCTGCAAACAAATATAATTATTTTGACAATTATATGAAAAGAGCTTTGAACTCAAACATATAAGACCTGCTCAAAATAAAACTCAGCCATCCACTCACCACCTCATATGATATCTAGGCATAGTACGCAATAGAAAGTAAGGGGACAACAATATTCCATTTAATGACAAAACACTGAAAAAAGGAGGACATCAAGGCACCAAGACAGATCAATTCTATATGAACAGGTTTTTACTACACCAAAGAATCACATTAACTCAAATAACACACCAAGTTTTAAAACACAACCATCCCAGCACCTCTAACAACAATAGCGAATACTGACAGGGATAATTAGGCCATTTATTTGAAGGTTAGTTTCACCTTCTCACATGTTCAGGTTATTCTTACAGGCCTTGTTTGTTTACAGAATAGAACAATGGGAGATTATGAATATTAGGGTTTAGTAGTGAAGAATTTAGGGGAATGGAATGGGAGATAATAGTGAATTCAATAGGATAGGAGAAAAAGGATTGATGTTGTAGGAATATTTACAGAGTTATATATGTTTCTTTAGCATAAGAATGGAAGGAATATTTATATCATAAGATGGCATCCACATGCAAGGAACATTGGGATCAAGATCCAATGATCTTGTGACAACCCCCCACATGGGGGATTAATTATCCCATGAGAAAGGTGGAATAGTAGAAAGACTATTAGTCCCCAAAACCTACTCTGGGACTAAATAAAATCATGACACTCACAAGACAGTTAATCCCTTGGGACTCACAGTCCTACAAAAGCTGCTTGAAATTCAGAACTATGGTCCAAGGCGACTTCTATGCAACTTTCAATACTTGAAACAGACGAGGGACTAGAGATAAAAAAAAACTACAACCAGGAATGGGAGGAAGAAACTGGGAACAGTAACATCTAAAAGCTGCTCATGAACCACTAATTTGAAAATCAACCATCTTTTCCTATAGGAAAGCTACTAATTAACAAATATGTTTCCAGATTTTACACCTTAAAAATAACCTCAGCATGCACTATTATTGTTTTTGTTCCTGAACCTATACAGAAGCTTAATAAGACAAGTATGACAGCAATATGCAGAAATATAATACAGGTTAGCTGGTTTACACAACCTTCTGCAGGCCTCTGATGGAGGATTTTTTCCTTCACACCAGAAAAGCAATTAATATTAAAAGAATAGGGCATGAGATTAAGTTCTTTTCCCCTAAATTATACATCTTTTAATTAAGCATCTACATAAAGTAAATTACTAGGCCTTTTGTATATCATAAAATATCTTAACCACAACGAAAATGTGCAAAAATTTCCTGAACAATAAAACTAGCAGCACAATGTGCCAAAAAAGTGAAACTAAAGGTCAAGCATTAGCCAGAAGTACCCTGTTAGGAGATTTGGAACCCTGATTTTCATGCGACTGCGAATTTGTTGAGCGAGGGTTTCCACCAAAGCTAGTCTACCAAGCTTGCTTTGAGGAGCACCCGTTAATATAGATTTCAGACTTTCACTCTCAGCTCGCCAAGCTGTTTCCAGAGAGCTATCTGTCCCAACATTTCCTGATTGTGCTGAAGCTATAGAAACACTTTGACCAATTAAAGCAACCCATGGGATATCTGATGTACTACGTGGTCCTTGACCCAATAAAAGAGCCTGAACTGCTGCAAGGATTTTTGGGTCTGTAGCCACTTGATCTATTTTACTGATAACACCAATAGTTCTGGTACCTACAATGAATATACAACTGCTGGCTTCATTTGAAGTAAAGAAAAGGGGTCAAAATAAATAAGATGGAGTGAAAACAAAAGTCCAAAATAACCACCAAGAAAAAGGTTGTAACCCCACCTTTACATGCACCAAAAAAAAAAAAAATTATTATTGAAACTTCTTTATGTGACAACAAAACAAGACAAAGTCAAAGTAAAACCCACTTTCACCATCACATTCCTTTGCAATTCTAAGGGCCTTATATGAGGAAACTTCAGGAGCCTGGGCAGCAGGTATTACAACTAGCAATATTGCATCATTATGTTCCACATATGCACTCTGCATGAAATATACAGAAGTTAGATCACTTTCCAAAGAGAAGATTTAAGAAAACTGGAACAACTATCTACCAAAAAGACACCATGTGGGTCTTACCAAAGTGCCATTCACAACTCATGGGAACCTGATAAAATAACTACTCACCAATAAATCATCAAAACTTCCTTTCTCCACTCCAGGCAAATCAATTAACTTCAAAGGTGGAGCTGCAAAATAGTAGATAACTAAATAAATAAATAAATAAAACAAAGCAACAAAACACACTTCAAGCATCTTTAATGTTTATACAGTCTAGCATACTCTTGCAACAGGCACTAATATATTTTTAACCTATAATTAGACCGGGTAATCATTCAAATTAAGAATAGAAGCTCATTGCTTTTTCTTTACCTAGAATTAAAGCCATAGGGCTCTATCCCTTTATTCATTTGACCCAACTTTAAATTGAAATTTTTAAGTTGAATTCACTTTTTTCTGTTTGAATTTTAAAATTCAAACAAGGTTTTGTACCGATTCTATTCTCAAAATTCTCCATTGATACAACATGCTATTTTTTCCATTTATTCCCTTTCAGGATCAGTTGTGGTCTTCAAAACTTTACCAATGGTATGGATGAATCCCTTGCTTCATCCAAATGTGTAAAAGATCCTAGCCGCACTTAAAAGCCAAGTACTCTACCATTGAGTTAGCAACCCATATAAAACAAATAATGTTTATATAGTCTAGCATACTCTTCATCTTCACTTCTCAGCTGCAATAATTATATCTGCCATTCTATATTCTAATCAGACTATGACTTAATGTTTAAAATCTGTGGCAGAGCTAAATGCCTATTAAATTAGATTGGAAGAAGGGGTTGGGGGTTAATGACACTTTGAGATCGTTGCGGGGTATTCTGTGATTTACCCAAAATGTTACTTATAAAATGGTCTAGAATTGCCCATGTCCTTGTAATTCACAGAAAGAATTAATATAGATAGGCTTAAAACTCAGAATAGCAATTGAAATCACATAAACTTCAGAATATGTACTAGTATTCTAATTAATATTTATGTTTCACTAGTGATTTCAATCTGCGCTGTCCTTGCAAAAAGCACAAATACTTCATCAATAATAGTTCATCTCCAATCAACAAAAAATGCACATAGTGAAGCAATGAAAGATATTCATCTCACACAAATTTTTTGGTAGTAAAAAGAAACAAACCTGTACTCGTGCGGAGTTTCAAATAGATCTCATCATGACTCTTTCCTGAACTTTTGCTTAGTCTATCCTGTAAAGAATGCCGAAGTGCACCTGTGTTGAGCCAAAAAATAAGTGCAAGTGGAGTCATCAAAGAAACATGATAGAAGTTTACAATTCACTCCAATTACATGCATATGCATGCAGACACAACGATATTTTGACAAAAAAGTAAGGATTACAGCTTGACAAGAGGCCTCACTTGCAGAAACCTGTTGATTCTTACTGTCAATCTGCAAAACAATTGATTTGCTGCTCAAAGAACTATCCCTTGTCAAATCAACACATATAGGAGCACGAGTAGCACCACCTTCACCAGTTGGCTGGAAAAAAGGGGTCATAATAAGCACACAGAAATACTCACCAAAAGTTATTCAGTAAGCATTAGAATTTCCAAATTTTGCCATGCACATAAAATACCAAAGAGCATAAGAACTTACCAAAGCAGGATGTCCAATTAGACTGTTTATGACAGCTGATTTACCAGCACCCTGAACATTACAACCAGTTAGAGATAATTGACATCCATAATACAACAACATAACAGCACAGAAAATGATTGCAAACCCAAAGAAAAATCAGGTTTTGCCCTTAGTTGAACTCCTGAGAATTGTGGACAAACCCAGGTGTGATAGCTATCATTTTTAAAGGCCAAGGTAGATAACACTTAAAAGATAACACTTAATCGCAAAACTAACCCCTCAAAGGCCACATCACACAACATTTTGAAAGTCACAAATTAGCTGTGTTCCACAACGTCATTTTTAAGTGTTGACCAGCAGATAATAGATACGAATATCATGTGACCACGTATGCACCAAATAAAACAAGATAAAATGGTGCAACTATGCAAAGTAGCTTTATAAATAAATCTCATTATCCAGAGAGTTAATGTGCAAAAATAGGGCACCCATAACCATTCTGAATCCGGTATCATGACCAAGTTTAAAAACAAGACACTTAATTTTATAAAAGTACTATAGAAGTCAATATCAAGAAGCACGAGGCAAAAACAAATAAATACGTTAAAAAAAAAAAAAAAAAAAAAAAAACCAGTTTCAAGTCCTCCAAACTTCTAGAAGAGACTGGGAAAAGATTGGAAAGCATTAGTAAGTCCAGATTCAGGAAATGCGTTTATATAACACACTTAAACATATCATATGGTAACGGTCAATAGCAACAGTAGCTAACACACGAGAATGAAACTATAGCTCAAACAAATCATTTATAATACAGGGTCCATCGTTTATACTCTTTAGAGTAAAAATATATGATTAATTCATACTGCATTTAGCTGTAGGATTACAATTATCAAACCCAATGCCCAAATGCAGTAAGATACTAAGATCTAACTACCAGATCGCTCAGTCACAACCGTAATCCAGTTCCAAGTTATCAGTTCAGGCGACAACTCACAGTATTGCCGAGCGCAACGACGTTGAGAAACGTGGACGGCCGTCTCGACGACGAAGATGAGTTCTCGTCGATGTCCTCGTCAGCAAGCAACGCAGCTGCTTGCCGCATCGACTCCGACAGCTGAGCCAATTCGTCGATCGCCTCCATCGATTCCTCGATTGGTGCCGGCCCAGTACAGATTAGCAAAGATATGAACTATGCAATAGGAGATCAAATCCAAAATCAGATCGAACTAGTGAAGCACACAACAGACGTGATGATCAAGATCGAAGGACAGGGAGACGAGGAACCCTAGGTTTTCTCACAGACTATGATGAAGATCCGGCCAGTCCAATATCTATGACAGTAGATGTGCGAGTATAGATGGTTTCTGCTGAATGGAAGTGGCCGGCTCCGGCGAAGTGCCGGAGCTTCGGGGGTCGAACGTTTGAAAGAGGGTGGGAAAGGGAGAGACGCAGAGAGTGAGGGACAGAAAGGGATTGGGAGGTGAACAGAAGTTTCGTGGGAGGAACAGAGAGAAATTAATAAATGCAAAATTCTATCCTCCACTTTGGCTTCTAATAAAGTCTTCAATCCAATTTCTTTTGGGTCTTTTCATCTAGGTCCTGTTGTTTGGGAATTTGGCTTCTGCCCTAAGGTTTTGAAATTCAAATTTTTAACTATTACCCACCTCTTTTTCAACTAGTACTTTGCTCTAAATAAATATTGTGAAAAGATCAAGAAAAAATAAGAGTTAAAAAAAATTAAATTAGATACAATTGTCATATTTTTAGGTCAGAGTTATATATATAAAGAATATTTTGTTTATTTTAGTTTTGTACTTAATTTTGATTTTTTAATTAAAATTTAGGAGTATATTTTCTTGAAGGTGTGATTAGACATTAATTTGTATTTATTTAATTTAATTAGGTATATAGTACAATCACTAGACATTGATTTATATCTATTTAATTTAATTATTTATATAGTGCAATCTTTAAAGTCTGTAAAATCTACTTTTGAACATATAAAGTAAATAAATAATAAATAATAAATATTATTAAATACTTTAGGTTTCTATTTGAACAAATAAATTTATGTTAAATTTAAGATTTAATTTAAAAGATATAAATATTTTAATTTCTAAATTTTCTCTGCCCATCTCTTAGTATATAAAAAAATAATAATCTTCACATTTTTTTGATTGATGCCACTATACTAGGGTTACCAGATTTTTATGAGCCGTAGAAGAAATAGCGAAGTGTTTTTCTTGTAATATTGTCAAAATGGTGCGTCCGTTTTGGCGTTCCTCTCTTCTCCCTGGGCCACTCACAGTCCATTAGTTAATGACTGATTGCTCTCTCTCATTATGCGTGTGCCTGTATATATGTATATATATTCAATTAATATTTTAAAAAAATAAACGTAATTACAGTTCTAACATGTATTATATAATACTGTTTTCTTGAATATCATTTTATTTTCTTTTTAAATTGCTCGTATTTAACTTTTTAACAAGTATTAAGATACTTATTAAAAAAAATTATGAAGTCAATTAACTTTATACAATTAACTCTTCGAATAATCATTTTTATAATTAATAATGTAAAACATTTTAAATTAAAATCATTTACCCATAAGATATTTTTAATGTCTCTGTAAAACAAAAATCTTGGTATAGGTTATGTGATTTCTTATTTTTTTAATTTCTCCTAAAATATATGTAATTTTATAAATTTATATTTTTTAATTTTATAAATTTCATAATCGTAATTTAAATAAAACAAGTATTGAAATGTATTTTAAAACACTTAATTACTTTTCAATTCAATATTTTTACTATTTTAAATCTTTCAAATTAATATTTTTAATATTGACTTTATAGATAATTTATTTAATCAAACCAAACCACTTGATAACTTTTCAGAAAAGAAAAAAACAATACGCACGTATGGGCTTAACTAATCAATTTCAATTTTTTTTTTCTCATGAACTCGTGTTGTGGAGCAATGTTGGGTGGATTGTACATTAAGAAAAACGTGTCAAAGTCAACCCCTTGCTTATTTTCTCGGTCAATGCGTGTCTGTCTTTAATTATTTTTTTGGGGTGAATCATGTTGACCATCTCTCCACTTTATCAAAATAATATTCACCACTTGATGTTTTAAAAGTCACACTAGTTCCCTGTTACGTGGTTTTCTAACTAATTCAAGCTTTATTTGAAATTATATTTATCAAATTGTCTCAAGTTATATGCAAAATATTTTAAAAAATAACATATGAAAAATCAAAACCAAAATAACCAATAAAAAGGTAATATTATTAATAATTCGTAGAGAATATAATTTATAAAAAAAGAGAATTCCATCCAAATAATATTTAAAAAGGGTACCCCATCATACTTCCATTTGACAATGGGGTCGTAACTTCTCAAAAATCTTGAATTCAAAATGTGAAGGCTATTATGCCACTATCTCGTGCCCTTTTTTGTGGTCAACGAATTGATTTACGCGTCGGGCTAGGTGTTTGCAACCTCTACAGGTTTGAATTGGGGGGAAGGGATGGGGGCGGTTTAATTAAATTCCTTACAAATTTTTATTGATTTATAATAAGTAAATTATTAAAATTATTCTATTAGGCTAGCTTTTATTTTTTTAAAATAAATTAAATATTTATTATTTATTATTCATCTTCGCTAATAAAATATTAGATTACCTCAACTCACTTTTACTAAACTATCAAATGGAGGCTAATTAGTTAACCTCGACGCACTTGGCTTTGAAAACTGACCAGAGAGATCGAGCCCGCTTCCTCCATCGGCCGACACAAACATTAAGGGATTGCAACACAAGCAGGGACGAGAATCAGGGATGGGGAGGGACCACACCGATTGGAGTCGAAGGATGTTGGATCTTCCCCACTTCTCTTCCTTTACCCGGAGGAAATGCCTGCTACAAATTTCAGTAGATCTCCTGTTGCTTCGCGACGTCAGCGCAGTTAAGTCTTTTAGACTGCTAGAGGGTTTCAAATTCAGTTTGCAAGTGAAGCTTCATAAGAAAATGATCTTGTAACAGGATTGTCATGTGGGTTTTTGCGCGAAGCTTGATATCGTAACAGGATAATCAAATCGTGGCCAATGCTAATTTTAATTTAACAGGGTTTTAAAAATTATTTGGTAATGTGGAACTAGACATGTGAATGATCTTGAAACGGGATTTTGAACATAGTTTGTACGTGAAGATGATTTTATAACAGGATCATCATGTCAGGAATAATATTTTATGCATCTAGTTTCAAATTACTTTGTAAGTGAAGCTTAATACCGAGGCAATCTCGTAACAGAATCATCGTATCGCAAACAGCTGCAAATCGTTGGTGATCAGCTGCTCTCCAGATTCTGATGAACAAAATGTAGAACGGGGGATGTAAAAGGATCTCATGGAATATTTCATGGAACATAAGTTCGAATGCAGCACAAAACTGAATTTACTAGAGCAGCAAAGTGAGTTCACATAGTCGTTTGATTTAGTCAAATAACACATTCTTCGGCAATTAAGAATCCAAAGCATTATCAGCAACTTAACAGAAAAGATTGCATAAGCTTTGGCTAAAGCAAATCCAAGCAATGAAACTACATGGACCAAAGAAATGACACTAAACAAAATTCAACACAACCTTTCATTATACCTACTTTGAATGGGATTGGCTTGAGAATGATAAGGTAAGAGTTACCTGTGTCCGTAAATACACCAAACTCAGAGGTGAAAAATGTCATTTAGATAAATATGTATGCAAACTTGTCCTTCCTTTATCAACAAAATTGCTTACTCCAAGGAATTCTCGGAATTGAAGCAATAAGATGTGCATAATTTTTAATAACAATAACCAGGCATAATAAAGATTTACATGAAAATGGTAATCAATAAGCATGTGGTTGCTCAAGCTACTTATGTCGGTTAATATGTGGGTAAAGTCCCAAAATATGCTCTGGAACAAAATCATGCCTTGTCAGAATTCCTACCACTGGAGGTCTCTGCAAAACAAGAAAAAGAAATCCGTGAATTTACACGCCATTATCAAATTTAAGGACTTTATGGATATCACTGTCAAGAAGTAATATAACTGCACATAAAGTACGATATGAAAAACATTGCAAAGAGACCAACATTATTGTCAGAGTCCAAAAGACATTTCCAGTTTCTTGCAATTGCCTTTTTCCCACAAATTTTCTAGTTGAAGTATCAACTTTGCATGACTTCATTAGTGATAAGAACAGAAAGTATAAATGATGCTGTCAAATCAGGAGAAAGGTGTTCCAAAATATATAAACACAATACTGAAAGTAATAGTTCGTATGCAACGTCTATATTTTTCTTTAGGTACTTTCTATGTTTCCCTAGTTTGAGACCCAACTGCTCATTGTAACAACATACAACCAAGAAATAAGCAGAGAGTATTCTATTTTTTTTTAGCAAGGAAAACTAAGCAGGCAGAAGGAAATTAAAAAAAAACAAAATAAAAAATAAAATACCCCAGGTGTCTTTGGTACAACACACAAGTGCCTAAGACCAAGCTCCCGAAACAGGACCGCAGCTTTGGCCAGGGACATTGTCTCCACAACTGTATATGGGGATGTATTAGTAATTGGGTGGAGATCAACATACGACTCCATTTCCTCTTCTTTAATATCCAAATCCTCCAGCTTGAGACCTTTCCCTGATCCTGCTTTGCAAAGTCAAACGCATGAAATGTCCTTAAAATAGCTGATCCGCTTGAAACTCTTTGCTTTGTAAATTTATTTCCTTTAAGCAAAACAAGCAAGTGGGACCTCAAAACAAGGCCACATAATTCTGCTGCATCTGAGAAAGGTGGCTCATCAATCACAGGAAAGCCATTATGTTTTGTAAGCTTCAGTGCATGTATAATATTGCCAACTTTCTCAACACCAGAGAAAGTAATCAGAGGACCAGAGACAACATCACTTGCAGCCAAATGCTTCATGTACGGTTCAGGATGAGCTTCCATATAAGGCAATCCCTTCATTTTCACAATTTGGTCATAGACGCCTTTGTTGAAACAATCAGCTACAGTTTTTGAAATAAGGAGAACTAGCATGATCAGTGGGAGCATCAATAGGTTGTTTGTAAGTTCAAGAAGTATCACACAAATTGACACCGTCATTCTCATAGTTCCACCAAGAAAAGAAGCAGCTCCCAGCAATGCAAAGAGGCCAGCATCAAGATCAAGGAAAGACCCTAGAAGGGTTCCAATAAGGCGACCATAAGAGGCTCCAGCTAATATAACAGGGATGAAGAGACCAGATGGAATGGCAATGCCGTAAGTGATAATACCTAGGCAGTATACCGCGACAAAGCAAACCAAAAGGGTAGAAAGGTGAAACTCCTCATCGCCAGAGCTTAGTAAATTACGGATGACATCATCATTGGTATTAAGTAAGAGAGAGGCAAGGTCATTGTAATGGCCTGGCGGACACTGGAAACTTTTATAGTTTCCAGAGCGACCAATAGTGGGGCAATCCTCTTCCAGCCCAACAGGGCAGGGAATGCACCTTGCAAACCATGGTAGGCCATAAAAGCAACAAGAGGTCAAGAGGGAGATAGAGGCAACAAGAAGGATTTTGGATCCAGGACCTCTCCTGCAATTCATTCTCAACAATCAGCAAGAGCCAACAATATTATAGTATTTTGCAGAAGTTCATGAGAAATAATAAACATGTTAAGTTTGGATAAGATGGTCTGTCATTTTACAAAATAGGGAGCTAACCACAATATATGAGGTGATGATAAATTTATAACAAGACATCAGAATAGGATAATCCCAACAAATAAAATGCTTCAGGGAAAAGGCAATGAACTTGAAATAAATCAACAACATGCTGAACATTCGTTATCTACTTGTGAAAATTTAATATTGGAGTCAATTAACTTATCTTCTGCAGCAAATGCTTCCCAAAAATCTAGGACAGAATTGACCGTCCAATTAAATTAACTAATTGCCATTCCAACTGCATATTATAGATGTAACCAATAATATATCACAAATATTAAGAGGATTATAAGATCATACTCATTGATGATGCTATAAGTTCGGAGAACCTTGTCCACGAAATAGTTGTATAGACTTCCGAAAGCGCCTCCAAGAATTCCAAGTAATATAATGACCAATAGATCTGTGGTGCTATATCTTGGTGTAGCTGAATTGACATCAAACATGATGAGACCTCCTTGCCCAAACAGTCCACATTTTCCACTCTGACAAAATTCTATAAGAGATCTCAACACCACAGCTACTACAGCTGTTGTGAAAAAAACCCTCCAAAGCAGAGCACTCCGCCACCTAAAAAGACATGAAAAAGGACAAGCTCAATAAGTATGGATGAATGAACTACAGTCCACAAATTTAAACTATACTGCAAAAGAGGATTCCATCCTATAAAGTAGTAAGCAACTTTGGACTTCAATATAGCTGCATGTTGCAATCAACAGATTCTAGTTATATTGCAAACAAATCCATTATTATGAATCAGACTTTTCCATTCTATTACTTAAGCAGCAGTCTCAAGCAATTCATTGAATCTGCTAAGTGATCTGTGAACTCTATGACAAACATATTTATATTCCACCACTCATTCTGTTTGTGATCCATTTCTTTTTCCTTTCAGAGTAATTTCTTAGTGTAGATTTGGATATCAAAGATCAAAACATAAATTAAGAAACATATATTTCAAAGCTATAACAAGCAAAAGAATCCTGATAACAAGATGCAAATATAAACATGTCTCTAGTGCATTGCAACAAGAAAAACATGATCCAAATATTGAATGCTTTATGTATCTTAGACAAGAAGAATCAATTTAAAACCTGAATGTGCAAGTGCATGCATGTGAGAAAGAGAGAGCAAGAGAGAGAAAGATACAGATACCATGAAGCTACTTCTTCAAGAGCAAAGAGAACGCCTCCTACTGGGGCACGAAAAGCAGCGGCTACACCAGAGGCTGCTCCACATGTGATCAGATCCCGTCTGTCCCTATCGTTTTTGAAGTATCTGAGCCATTTCCAAGTCAAGTGATACTTCGGGAACCTCCCTGTCCAAGTAAGTTTGCTATGCAAGAGCCAGTGTGAACCATGGGTCCTTCCTTTCCCACAACAAATCCAGCAGCAACACCAAAAATGGAGCCAAAAATCTGGAATGCTTCACAAAAAAAAATATTAGAGCAGTAATAGCAGGAAACTAATGATCTAATGACCCTCAAGGAAAGACCACTTCCCTGTTTCACTTTACCAGAGAAGCAATCATTCTAGCATTAAAGTGGCACATGCAAATAAACTAAATGATTTACATGCAAGAAGTTTGATTGTCAACTCCAATAAGTAAGTATAATGCAGCAATTTTCCACACATCACCAGATGAACAAAGAGTGGCATGCCATAAATCATTTCAGTACAAAAGCTCACTGAGGGGATTGAGATGAGAAAACTTATAGGTGGAAAATAGACAATGAACCACAGTCCAGTCTAGTCTGAACTCTTAACCCATTTAATGTACTTGCCTCCAAGAAGAACAAGGCAAAATAATGTACTTAAAAAGTGTAAATGAAATGGAGCCTTATTCATTTGATCACAATATTCATAGCTAAATTGGCCAAGGAAACCATCCACAGGTTTTTGTAAGAGTAGACTACATATCGCATTTTTAATAGAAAGGGGAAAAATAATCAGAAAGACTTCAATGTTCATTATTTTTTCATTTGCAAGAAACTTTCTGTAAATTCTTACAATATAGTTATGCTGTATTTCAGTTTACTTACATTTTTAACATTAAATGAAGTGGAACAGTTTCAAATCTGGATTTGTTTTCGTTTTCGTTTTCCTTTTCTCCATTCTTCATATTTGTATTTATTTATTCATCTATTCTCATGTTAACATGTTATTGCTCTAAGCGAAGATGATATCATGGAAGACATAAAAATACATACTATTGAAATGAAGTGATCAATTAGCTAAATTCAGAGTATGGATGTTCTAACGGAATATCTCTTTCATAGTGTGTTTGAAGTTCATTACCTATATTTTGTGCACAAAAACAAGATCCAATGGTGCTGCCATTGTCATTTTAGCACATGCAAGTACTTCACAAAAAACTCAGTCACTGGGTAATTGATTCAAGCATATCTGTGCATATCCCATACACACAACAGAGTGATAGAAGTGTTGTGTCTTACAAACCTTTACAAAGAGGGTACTTGGGGCCAAAATAGAATGAGCATCTATGCCATTCAGGTAAGCTTTCACCTCGGGTATGCCAGATCCAGCTGCTGCAGGGCAATGAAAGCACATAGTGCAGCAGCAGCAATTGCCAAAATCACATTACAACCGGCAAAAGCTACAAATGCCTGAAAATATCTGCACTGGAATTAAAGCCAGAAGTTATTACTAAGGTAGTAGCCAATGCGGGGATAAGATCTTCTATGGCATGCAATTATTTTAGATGTTGGCAGAAATAAACTGAAGCAGTGCAAGCATCAGAATATCTCCAAGCAGAATGGTTTGATACAAATAACAGTCAAACACAAGCCAATGCAACAAAGTCGGTAGAATATTAAGCTTTTAGATAGTTCTTTTTTTTTTCGTCTTTCAGTAATCATGAATTTTCTATGTCTAAGATACTTAATTCTTCCCCTAAGCAATGCCCAGGTGGCTGGTACAAAATGCACCTGCACCTGGTGACACAACAAGATCACCATCCAATTGAGTTTAAAAGGTTGTCACATTCAGTACACTCCAATCTGCAGATGAAATAGAACTCAACTGCAATTCTAGAAGTATGGGAGTATAAGACCCATTGGACCTTGCAAAATTTTAATAATTCCTAATCAAGAATATGCCATTTCAATTTATTGCTTAAATTATATTAGGAATTCATTAAAAGAACAAAAGCCATGTCTAAACAATAACAGGATATTCCAGTGTACCCTGAGGTTCCACTTCTGATTGAGGACAGATTAGTACATCTTACTAGATGGAAAAGGAGAGGAAGATGAAGATAAGTTAAAATGGTAACAACAATGTTAAAACTAAACTTATATAAGCCACTAAAATTGCATTCTCAACTATCCACAGGATTTATTCAACATTTTAATAAGCACGATAAGATGTTGTATCAAATGGGAGTTACACTTACTTTCTTTCAAGCATGAGATTGCTAGTCAGTAGAAGCTTAAACCCAGCAATGTTCTCTACACCTAGGTTATTAAAGAAGCCCACAAGTCCTGTACCCAGTCCTATGAGCAGTGCAAGGGTCCACTTGAGAACAACATACTGAAATATCTCAACCTTTTTCCTAGATCTCCAATCCTGCTTGAAAAGATCATTTTCAATAATCCTGCAAGATACAGGTATCAGAAAATGAAACAGAAAATATTAACAGCAAAAATGGATGAATTTTACAAAGGAATATACTGCATGACTGACACTTTTGAAAGTTTTCATTCCAAGTCAACTGATGTCATCACAGCTTAAAACACTGAATCACAACAAGCAGTGTATAATATAAAGTGAAATCTGCAGGTTTATCTTAACATAATCTAATAACTTAGCAACATGTCAATTACTTTAAAAAAAAAAAAAAAAAAAAAAAAAAAAAAAAGGAGCATCAGAGTGACAAAAGCACTGAAAGAAAGCTTCTTTTGTTGACAAATGAAATCAGTGCATTAAATAAAAAAGGCACTCCTTGCCTATAAATAGAGGAGTTGAGAGCATTCTCATGACACACCAACGTGAGAGAAGACAAGCGAGTTAGATAGAGAATCTCTCAAGTTTTGAGAAGAGAAAAAAATTTCTTGTGTAAAGGGTGAGTGATAGAATTTCACCCTTAAAGACTTATTCAAGGAAAATGACACATGGCAGAAAACATATGGTTGAAGACCAGTTCCAACTTCCTTAATTTTCTGCATACCTCTCAGAAATCTATCTCCTTTTTCATAGGAACTTAGTTAGGATTGTTAGCAAATAATACTCCAGGATATGTACTATAACTATCATACGAATCTATCTCCTTTTTCATAAGAACTTAGTTAAGATTGTTAGCAAATAATCCTCCAAGATATGCACTATAAATACCCCAGGAGTTGTTTTGAATTAGGATCAGGAATTAACATTTGAATTTATTATGTTGGAGATTTGTCCTCTCGAATTAGACTAGCTTATTAGTTGTTTTTGTGTTGAAGATTCTTACACTTCTACAACTAATAATATTTCCCCATTTATTTTTTATATCTTTTTCATGTGTTTATCAGTGAGTTTACTATACTAAGAGTAATACAAAAGTGAGAAATATTTTGTAAGTGAAATCTCGAGTTGATAATAACATTTAAGTATTTTGTATAAAAATTTATTTATATGGTAGTGATATTTCACTCCTTCTAATATGTGATTCTTCATAATTTGGCTTTTTCACATAAATTTTGGTACCTATATATTTTATTTTTTTCTAAATTTACTGTGTGTCATGTGAGTGTTCTCACCCCCGAGAAGTGATATCAAAGCGTGTGCCCCAACAATTCCAACGTTCCCTCTTACAAACAAAATCAGCTGGTCCTGGAAAAATAACAACGATCACTAATCGAGATGTTCTAACACTTCCCTTTCATGGATCCAACTTTATTCGTATCGCATAGTTTCATTAAAAAGAAAAAAAGAAAAAGGAAAGCGCAAAAAAGAGCCAGCGTTTGAAGATATTATTGTTCCCTTACACACAGCATGGCCGTCAGTGCTTGATTATGCAACTACGACTTCATGAAAAATTAACCGATAAATAAGAAACGATGCAGAACCTCATACAAGACTTCAATTCCATGAACCATGCACATGCCTAGAAGCGCAGTTTTATTAACTCTATTAAATTAAATTAATAATGCCATCTAATGAGTATTGTTTGTAGGGAAAAAATTTAAGAATTTGAAGAAAAATGAGCAAAGAAGTGATCAAAGGAAAGTTTCCTCCACACCCTGCATTTTCTCAGCAACCAAACACAGGGATGGAAAAAGGAAGAAATGCACGAAGACCAGAGGCCAAAGCAGTAGCCCTCAGGTAAGTGCGTACTCGTAGTCGAGGCTTTCGATGGCGCAAGTATTGGCCCCAACGATGGCAATCTGAGAGGTAGTATTGATTCTACTCCTGCTCAGAAGGGGCGCTCTGATCGCTCCGTCTGAACTCCGCTCTGAATTCGTCGATCCATCCATGTCCAGCTCTGCCATTGCATCACTCTCTATATCGTGCGCATCCCTCTGATCCATCTCTCCGCTCCAGAATTCTCCCTCGACACCTCCTTTCGACTTCTTCAATATTTTATTTTCTCTCTCACCACAGAAGTTCTGAACGCTTTATCTCATCCGGTTTTCTCACTATAAACCTCCAGAGACTTCCTACACGGAAACGCAGAGAGAGAGACGAAAAGTCCCGGCCCGGGAGGCAGGCAGACCGTGAAATTATAGTGACGTGTTTGGTAGACTTTCAGAAGCCCCACGTGCTTTTTTCTTTAAAAAAAAAAAAAAGCGCTGAGCCCATAAGTTCGGTTGAAATGTTTTCGTGATATTCGATATATTTATTTTTTTAAAAAATAAAACTTTTATTTATAATTTTAAAAATACTCCACTTCACAGATCTGAATACGTATGGATTTATTTATTTTTATTTTTATTTTATATATTTGAATTAATGAAAATCTTTCTCCACCTATACTATTAATTTTGAACAAGAGCATTTTTTTAAATAATTTATTTTTTCAATAAAATAACCTATTTTTTAAAAAAAAAATTGAAACGGTTTTGGAAAATCAATGAATCTATTTACAAGAGTTATTATTTTTTAAAAAATAATTTAAAATATAAAAAATATAAAAATTAAAAATATTTGTAAGTTCTACTAAAAATGAAAATAAATTGATAAGCACTACTTTTTTTCTTTCCTATTTACTGAAAAAATTTTGATAAATAAATATTTAATAAAATAATTATAGAAATTATTTATACTATTTTTTTATTAAAATATCTAAGTTATCTATTTATTTAAGAAGTAATAAATCTGTTATTATTAATTTTAGTAAGGATTGGCATTTCAATTTCTTTACTCATTTAGATAAGGATAATCATTTCAATTTCTTTACTAATTTGGATAAAGATAATCATTCCAATTTTCTTATGGAAAATAATTTTTAACAATTGTGACTTTTCTAATTTTGTCTCCATGTTTTAAAATATTTATTTATCCCGTCGGATTGCCGTGCTGGAAATTTCGGTTGGAAATTTTAGCTGTCATTTGACCGAGTGGGACGAAGTATACGATGCCCTGTGATGCACTAGAAAGGCACGTGGTTACGTCGGGGATATGAGTGGGGACGCGCGGGTTAAGTGGAAGACGGCCACGTGGTTTCATCCGAGAGGTGACAAGTGCACGTGCCAGCTGCCTTCTTCCTAAGATTAGCTATCTAATGCGGATTTTTCTACCCACATCAGTCTTTTTTATATAAACCATTAGATAAAATCAAAAACTCATCTCAACCGTTCAATAAGTATATAGTATACATATATTCAGTCTATCTATTTTTTTTATTTTTTAATTAGTACATCTATTTATTAAAAGATTGTATTCAGTAAAAAGACACAAATAATCTTAATTTTTTTTAAAAAAAAATATTATTCAAATATACATATTATTTAAAAGAATGTATTTTATATTAGTAAACTTTTCATATTTTTCACAACATCCGGCCATCTTTCTGCCGTCCGGCGTCCGGCATAAACTTCTTGCCACTGTTCGAACTGAATTTCAAACTGACTTTAGCGAGCATTTGTGTTTTCCCGGTGAAGGAGAGTGGACAGATCGGAGTTCAGCGCCATTGATCATGGTTCGACTTCCCGAGGAAGGAGGTGGAGCGTTGACCAACAAGTCGAAGGTTAATTCGTGAGAACATAAGAAAGTGGCTGTCAAATTTGGCCAGATCTAAGATGGAAGAGAACTCGATGGATATTGGGGAGACTTGGAGGCAGACGATCAGGTTCAGATGATCTATAACTTAGAAAGTCATTACATTGGGGTCAGACAAAGTCATAAGATTCTCAACAATTTAAGTCATGCTTGATGTTTCGTCTTTTACTAGAGAGGATCTAGTGGCCACGAACGCCATGGTTTCAGGCTACGTTCAACTAGGATTCGTCAAAGAAGCAATGTGTTTGGCTCAAGAAATACAAAAACTAGGACTGAAGCCTAATATTATAGCATGGAATACTCTGATTTCTGGGTTTTCACAGGTGGGTGATGATTCCATGGTCTCTGAGATTTTCCAATTTATGAGGTTTAGGGGGATTGAACCTAACGTGGTGTCATGGACATCAGTTATTTCTGGGTTTGAGCAAAGATTTTAGAATGAAGAGGCTTTTGACACATTTAGGCAAATGCTGGAGCTTGGTCTGCTTCCAAGCTCGGCTACAATTAGCAGCCTCTTACCCGCTTGTGCATCCATAATAGATTCGAGGCACGGGAAGGAGATCCATGGATACTCGGTGATGATCGGCGTTGAAGACGACATATATGTGAGAAGTGCCCTTGTAGACATGTATGCAAAATGCGGGTTCATATACGAAGCAAAGACACTGTTTGATACAATGCTTGAGATGAACAGTGTTACCTGGAACTCCATGATCTTCGGGTTCGCAAATCATGGATACTGCACAGAAGCAATTAATCTTTTCAATCAGATTATAGAAGAGGAGGAGACAAAAAGGATCAAACTCGATCACTTGACGTTCACGGCACTTTTCACAGCTTGTAGTCATGCAGGGCTAGTTAAACTGACAGAAACTTGTTCTGTGTAATGCAGGAGAAATACCAGATTGAACCGAGAATAAAGCATTATGCGTGTCTGGTGGATCTTCTAGGCAGAGTTAGGAAGATTACGGAGGCCTATGACTTGATAAAGACAATGCCAATTGAGCCTGATTTGTTTGTTTGGGGGGCATTATTAGGGTCCTGTAGGCAGCACGGGAATATAGAGCTTGCTGAGATAGTTGCCAAGCATCTGAGGGAGCTCGAGCCGGACAGTAAAGGAAATGGGCTATTACTTTCGAGTCTGTATGCTGATGCTGGAAGCTGGGAAGAGGCTGCAAAAGTGAAGAAGATGATGAAGAAAAGAAGTTGAGGAAATTCCCGGGTTGCAGTTGGGTAGAAAGCATGTATTCTAAACATAAAGCGAATATGGAGTTAGAGAACAAGAGCTTGCGGAAATTTCTGTGTCTATGACGGAAACTCTTGGGCAATGATCTTCCCAAGTCATTGCATTCACCAATTGATTAGTACCATCATTTTTTAAGTATTTGTCTCTCATTCTAAATTCATCTAAAGTTAATTCTAGTCGCTTACATTCCTGTTGGAAATTTAGGAGCGAAAAACAAAATGATTATAATTACTTAGAATAAAAAAAATTATTCATTTTCTGGTTTGGATAATTGTTATGAAATAGAGAGGATATTAGGTTATAATGATCAATTAATTTTCATGTTTTTATGTTTAGTTTCATAATTAGGTACTAAAATTTTTTTATGTATATTTGGAAATTTTCAACTCATCTCTCTCGCGAACTCAAGCAGAGACTTAGTCTTGCTCAGCAGTATATACAGGTAAAATCTTTTAAATTTAAGACTTCCAGTAGAACATTGGCTCCAATATCAATCTTCTGTCATTAATTTCTTACCAGAAGGAACAGGGTGCCAGACACAGTATGAGAGATGTATAAAAATCACTAATGATAGCTGGGAATAGCTCATACAGATCAAGAAACTCAAGCATCTTTTGGCATCAAAACTACTGTTTATTCATGACTATGGACGACATGGCTATAGGATGGAAATGAACCAAACTTTGTTTCCGGACCAGTCACTCTGCTGCCCCATACTGTATAAGTGCGAATCAAACCCAACGGGCATCCCATGGTGCCGTAACCTTGAGCCATACCCATTAGTGGCAGAGCCATCATCTGTGGCGGGTAAGGCATCGAAATCGGCACCGGAATGAGGCCATTGCCTTGCCCGCGTGCACTTCCTCCGTTCTCGTGTACGATTTGCAGTCCACTCGTCGATGAGAAAAATTGATTTGAAGAACCGCCATTAGGAATCCCCTTCATCCTCTTAAATACTGTACTTGAGTAAAAGACAAATACTTGAGTAAATAAGGTCATTTTAGTCTTTCCATCTAAGTACATCTCTGTACCGTATTTAGTACGCCTTTCAACAAGTATGCATTGAATAAAAGGTTTAGATAAATCACAGTAACATCTAACGGTTGAAATTAACTAATCTTATATCAGTCGGTCCACCCATGACTGACTGTAGACACCCCCATCTAATGCTGGATGCTGGCTAAGCAAATCGACAAAGGCAAGATACCAGGTTCGACTGGATAAGCTATAGCAGAATAATTCCAAAAAAAATCTTGTTTATTTTCTCATATTTGGGATGCTTTTATTTTTAACTCAAATAGAATATATTTGTCTAGAGAATTAATTAGATGATATTTTTTTTCTTTTTAAATAAGAGATTTGGGTAAAATTAATTGATAAAACTCATGTAAAATATATTATATTCTATATTTTGTTGATAATAAATAAATTTATATTTTAAACTTTATTTTTATATTTTAAATATTTGATTATTCTATTTTCAAGTGATAGGTATATTGGAGATAAATACTATAAAAAGATAAGAGATAGATAAGAGTAAAGACGTATGGTCAGAGATATGATTATTTATATTCATATAAATAAAGATTAGATTGACTAGATTGATAAAAAGAAGTATTTTCATTCTTTTGATAATTATGCTTCCACTTAGAAAGATTTATTCGAGATATTTTAATTTTTACCTTGGATTTGAGCGGGTTATCTCCTTGGACAGTATCACAAAACATCAATACCTTTTATGTGCTTATTTTAAAAGATCATTATAAATCTAATAAAATATTAAAATTAGATTGGTTGTTTTAGATGCCCCATTTAGAAATCACCCAAATATTTTTATATTTTAGGCTAGTTAAATAATCAATAATAGCTTTTAATTATCTTGCTGAATTGACACAAAGAGTTATTCTTAAATTATTTTTCTTATATTACTAAGTCATTTCAAAAGTTTCATAATGCTAGACATTCAAGATTGATAAAATATTAAATATACTATATTGTTTAGGGACAATACCCACAACTTAGCTCAATTGGAATGTCTAAATGGTGCTTGTATGATATTTATTA